GCTGGAGTATATCGGTATATACTCTACCCCAAAATATACATTTTTATAGCAACCCACACTCAATTTAAGCCAATATCACCATGACCCATATATAACATATTTAAATACACATTTTAATCACCCGGACTCCGAGGTGTTATACGCTAAGATTATCATGGTAATGACATTTGACCTTGCTCGTGAACTTTCTGTCGTAATTCCAACAAAGCGCGACTATCCCCAATCCCAAACAAAACATTATGAGTGGATTACGCTTTGTTTCCAAACCGCCGACCGGGCAGATTAGTCTGCTGAGTCAGGTTTATTGGAAGATGTTTCGAGGACGGCGCGCGGAAGCGGCATGTTTCTACAGGTGTGTTAGCGAATCAGGCTTGATCGTGTTACAGATTCACCCGGCCTTGAACGCTGGCCTATTTCCCCACCCACACCGCGCGGTATCGTGTGGGTGGGTGCGGCAGACCGCGATCATGCCTGGAGGCCTGTTGCTATTTCAATGGGATTCCGGATGTTGGAACTTCCTACGAATGCTTTGAGCATAGCTGGTGGTTCGTCACGTGGGTTGATCACTGTAACAATATATCCGTTAAAATTGAATAATGATTTAAATGCGGATTTATTTACCAAATAGGTTACCTCCTGAACGTATAAAAGTTTACTGCATTATGTTGGGTTAAGTGATATATTTCAAAACAAGAGCAATTTTAAAAGTGATTTTGATTATTAGTGAAGTGTACCTTCATTAATATCGAGTATTAAATGAATGAAAGACGAGAGAAATTGTAGATGGCAGAACGGGTATAGATACGATAAACAAAAAAGACAAAAACATAAATTCATAACATAATTTAAAAGCTTAAAAAATTAATGTTACATTTCGTAATAAATACAGAGAAATAAACAAATAGAATCAAATAAACCTAAACATGTGCATATAAAAAATAATGTATGAATAACATGACGTTAACCCCGCACTGTTTCAACACACCTAACGTCTAAAGTAATATCAAATATAACGTCTTTGCAACACTACACAGACATATCCATGCCAGTTGTCACAAAGAAAATTGTGGTTGACATTATTTAAAAAAATATGAAACAATCATTGTATGCAAAGAAGGGTGCTAATCTCACTGAAGCCAAAACGCGGAGACGATGTTGTAATTGTCGCACCGAGTACGTCTCTGAATGTGCGGATGACGCAGTAAGCCACAAAGACACCCTTTACTAAAACCTCACTTCTGAGGGATTGAACAATGAGCTTGTCAGTGTACAGGTTTTTCGCATGGCGACAGGTTGACGGACACCGTCAGATACGTACGTCGACGGTAGCTGCGACAGACGTCATGAAGCTGAAAAATCTTTTGTCATCACAATGATTTCGTATTGCACTCATATACACAAACTGGTAAAGTTTATAGTCTGATAACATATACGGGTATATCAGGCATATCAGGCATACAGTGCTGGTGGTTGTTATCTACGTGTATTTAAACTGGGGGGGGGGGGGGGGGGGGGGGGGGGGGGGGGATTATATATCGGCTTCTCAATTTATAATATGTTTAATTTTCAATTGAAAATATCTTAAGTTAGCTATTTTACTTCCAAAAATGAACTGTACTGGCACTTAGCCAGCACTCAAAGAAGACTTCTACATGGTTATATATTAAAAAATATAATTTGATTTAAATCCAACCGCATACTGCTTATGGGTGTCTTAAACATTTTGTAATAATATTTCAAACATGGTAGGTTGCAAATTCATTTTTTTATGCCTGTCTTTATTGATCCAATTTTTTTTTTTACAGAAATGTACCGAGCTAGAGTAACATCTAGTCTCTGAAATGAACATATCGTTCAGAAAAACAGTTGTTCAATTATCTTAACAAAAAAATAATAAAAGGGAGCCTAGAGAAAAGGGGTGGTGAGGCTCGCTGACTTGGTTGATGCATGTCATCGTGTCCCAACTGCGTGGATCGATGCTCATGATGTCAATCACTGGATTGTCTGGTCCAGACTCGATTATTTACAGACCGCCGTCATATAGCTTGGATATTGGTGGGTGAGGTGTAAAACAACAAACAAACAAAACAAAAACTTTTTTTAGATTTCACAATCAGCACGAGAGGGAACTCATGCAAGAACTAATGTGACAAGCTCCGTATAGGATCGGTAATGCTGGTTGTGCCACACAATTGCACGTGACCCTGACCGTAATCACGTTGTCGATACGTGAAGTTATTTCAAGCTGTCGAATCGTTACCAATCGGTGATTCCCCTACCTAAGAATACACATGAAGAAACTGCAACGGGAGTTTCCAAACATGGAATACGATATGACTAAAATTAGCTTCCTAACTGAATTTTTTAAATTTTATAGTCACTTTATTACCCTGTTTTGTACATAATCCTGTGTTTTCCCTTCGGTGTTAGGAATTCTCCGATCAGGAACATGTTGTAATTGACAAACATAAATGAATAGACCTTACTATGTTGAATGTTACGGACTAATGCCCATTTATAGCGCTAGTCCACTGAAATACCATGTCACAGCTTAACATGGATACGTCACTTAGACACAATCTACTAACTCCGACCAGTCCTTGTTTTAGCCCCTCAATTCCGATCGGCAGGCAGGGAAACAATAAGTACCATCTTTTAACGTCTTTTGGCATGACGCGGCAGGGGATCGAACCACAAACATTTCGCTCTCCGGGCAGACACTCAATCTAGTACACCAAGGAGGCTGTCCAATACGATATGTTTGAAAGATTCCCGAACCACCAACATTCCGCTCGCCTGTGAAGACAATGATCTCACAACATAAAAGAATGATCGCCTTTGCAAGATAACATATTGTCAGCGGTGACGACATGTCGACAGCACCTGTGATACGAAAGCGCTGAAAAATATGTCCAAATCTTCTTACTTACCGGAGATTCAAAAGCCTCAATCTCGCGTGCGATATTACCTGATATTTGTATACAGAAAGCGACCGACGGAAACTAGCTTCCGTTCCGTGTCCATCTAATTCTTCATAGGAATTCAAAGCATATACTTTCACCGGAAACTCTAGCCTACAGTATTGTCGCGTACGTCATATACATATACATTGTACTAGACAGTACTGAATTATAAGTCCATATACGTACAGTAATAATATCCTTATAAGAGGCAAGTCTAGATAAGCGGACAGTAAGGACGCCAGCCTCTTATAGGGACAACTTGTGCTTATTATAAACATAATTAGAAATTATGATTAAATTAATAAATAATACCTTGTGCAAGTCTAGTCAAATACGTGTACATAGGGGTTCAAGGCTAAAGGGGGTCACCAGTACCCTATCCGTGACGTAAGAAGTTACAGGGATCGCGGGTGGCGTCAATGTGTGATCTGCAGTTGCAGCTGGCTGATTGTGTGACATCGTATCGTGACCATCACGCACTCTCGATCACTAGTTTGCACAGATTCGAATATTTACAGGCCTCGCCACTTGGACTAGCTGGAATAGAGCGGACTGCAGTTTAAAATATCAACCTTTCAATTAAAGCTCTTTAAATGGACGTAAGCACTGAGAACTACCGTTAATAATAAAAATAGGACATTTGACAGCCTTGTTGAAATTCAAGGACACCATTGTCACGCCAACAGTAAATATGAAGATGTGAATATACATCTTTATCTGTAAGAAAGTCCATAAGTAATATTTAACAAGTGCCATTTTTTAAACCACATGTGCATCGGCATCAGTCCGGACTAGTACAAGCAGCCACACAAACACACACACGTACATGCACGTCGCTATATAAGTGCAATAATCTTGGACGCGACGTTAAACCCAATTTCACCTCACCTCACTTGAGTGTAAGTAGCACAGGAGCAGTAGGCCTGACGCAACAGCTCAATCCACGAAACGTCGAGAACGTTATCTTCGCGGTTAACCGTAATTGTACACGTACACTTCCAAAGGTACACAATCACAGCGTGACAATCAGTCGCTAACTCAGACTCCGACTACTGAACACACTTCAATATTAAATATTATCGGGTTTTATTTAATAAAAGTCTACGATGACGATATCAGAAATAACAAGGGATGCGAAACGGACTCGTGTACTGACATGGTGTTTTCATTGGAAAATATGAGAGATTGTGTAACCAATTTGTATATCCGTGTATATTCACGATAATATATCCAACGGAAAGTTATCACATCCGTCTATGATCATAAAAAAACATATACCCTCCATGAACCATGCACACATGTCCTTTCCGGGTAAAAGCTAAAAATAGATTCCCGGGAAAACCGGCTAGATGTATTTCACGACTTTGTGCAATGACCGACGGTTGGCCTAATCTGGTTATCACCGGTTCCGATAAGTTAGGTAGGACGTTAATGTGACCCTTGATATATGCCGTATTTAATAAAGCCATGTCGTATCGTGTTCCGAAACACATTTACAAAATGATAATATAGTTAAAGTACCTTATAGGCTAGAGAATGAACATGCAATACAATTAAGGCCTTTCGTCATGAAACACCATTTTATACATCTGAAGTGAATTCTCGCCCGAATCATATACTCTTTCTGTTATTCATAACGTTCGAAATGTTCAATACCATGCAATATTTCAAACGTAGTGGAAACGAATCATCTGGATCAAGAAGTGACAGCTAGGAATTCCCTAGCCTCGTTTTGGAATTACTGCCACAAGACCCAACGTGTTGAAAAGCAGTTGGGAGAATTGAGATGCGTGGCGAGTTGTTCAATCAATAATGCGCTAATGCAAACGGTTATCCGAATTAAAACGTTCTAGTTCTTTTAGATATTTGAAGATGCTTCAATGAGTGCAGCATGAGTAGCTAATATGGCTCACGTTGACTGATAATCAAGAAAATATACCGCAATCGACATAGCAACCGGTTTCCAGGGAAGTACTTTCCTTACCTTTGACATCTCCTCCCAACCAATGGGAGGACCGGGCGGACGGGCAACACCTTGGGTTGAGCTAAAGTCTGATACCAGTAGTGTGTCAGCACATTCTTGTTGTGAATCTGCTCTTGATAGGACGTGTGTGTGTTTCATGAATATTGTTGGATATACCTGTGCAGAATTCGGAGTACCTTTAATCATGACACTGACAGAATACGACGATAACAGCAAAATGCAGCAAAAACCACAGTAAGTAGTGTTTATTATCTCCAATTATCTTAGTTAAAACGTCTTCTGACATTGTACTTAACGGCCACGTAATCCTTGCAACGTTGCATCAGGTAAAAACATGGATTAAATTTAAAGCTTCAATTAAGAATACAAGTACCAAACTGATCTTGTATATCAGAGGGCTTAATGTTTTCAATAATTCTGTACTAAATTTAAGAAACTGACATTGTTTAAAAAAAATGACATTTGACAGGTAGTCTCTAGCGTGTTTGGAAATTAATGAAAGCCATGTTTGCAACTTTGTTTTAAAACCTTGGCAGTCACTAGTTGCGAACGCAGTGGATGAAATCTCATGTATTCTCAGTAAAACCGTTTTTAGGGTTATTTTTTAATCCAGTGTAGGGCAATGTTTTATGCACATGGTACCTCCCTAACCACTTCATAACATTCGATTAATTGTTTTAATAATGTTTAAAAGACAACTATTCTAAACAATATTTTTGCAAAATGTATGTAAGGACATGTGCTGTATGTGAAGATGGGCTAGCGTGGCAGTCCCAATCAAGAATCCGGGCGCGTGACTGAGTGACGTCAGCAGTCGAGTGTTTGTGTGTTGCAAGTGGTGATATACAAACACGGGGCTATTCAATGGATCGATGTTAATCTTATTATGGTCATGTACACTGATTATAATTACATTCCCTCAAAGGAACTTGGCAATGAAATCAGCTGATAAGCTCGTGGTTGGGCTCGCGCTCGCGGAGCAGGGATTCCCAGTCTTGCAGGTCCGTGGTTACTCACGAGGCTATTAATAGACATGACTATGCATCTTGTCATGACAATGTTCAAAACGCATGTTGTTCTGTTTGTTACAGGAATCAGCTGACTGTAGGCCACGCCCTCAGAGACACCATTTGGCAGGGCTTAGAGCAAGGAAGATTGACTTGTGGAATGTTCGAATGTGCAAAGCATTTGGAAATGTAAGTATCAGCATAAGAAACAGATAAATGATTTTTTTTATCTTTCAGTCGTTGCATGTTTAAACAATGCAACGCAGCCGTCCACCAACTTTTGAAATCTGATTTCAAATTAATAAATATACATGAATTATGACTATTATCATAAGTACTAATCAATGTACTGATATGGTAAGAAAAGCAAAGGTGACATCGAGAGATATTTTTAGAATTGTATACTTCGACAAAGTGCTTGAAATGAAACCGAAAATAAAAATGAAGGAATCTATTGAATATATAAATATATGTTCAACCAGAATTTAGTGTACATGGTTATATTTATACATCAAAATAATCAAAACCGTGTTATTTTTGCAGAAACCCCCATAACATCATGCTGTGTGTCCTGCCCGAGGATATGGTTGGGGATGTATCAGTGCACATCCATCACACGCTCATCGAGGCTTTCTGCATGGAAAACAACATCAGACTTGTCAGGGTATGTAGCACTTATCTCTGTCCCCATCAGTTGTACTCTGTATTACACATTATGTCTTTCAACCAGTACTGGGGGCGGTCGGGTAGCCTAGTGGTTAAAGCGTTCGCTCGTCACGCCGAAGACCCGGTTTGATTCCCGACATGGGTACAATGTGTGAAGCCCATTTCTGGTGTCCCCCGCTGTGATATTGCTTTAATATTGCTAAAAGCGGCGTAAAACCATTCTCACTCACGCACTCCACCAGTACTGAAATAGACTACACAAAAGAAGTTAAGGACCGCCCGATTTTTTATATATGTTACAATAGTTAATCTGTCATGGCATGACCAATATCTACAGTATTATAAAGAATCAATGATCCTTAGCTTATTTTGAGTTGTATAATAGTTTGACCAACTTGTTTGATCGAACAAGTGTTAAATCACTATAAGGTCAATGGATAATCTTTCTTCTACACCAATACAGTCAATCAGTTCGGTGAAGGCACTGTTTGTAGCTTTTTGAAGTGATGTTTCTAGGATATTGTCCCATTAGCTGAAAATGTACATAGGTCTTTTAAGCAGCTTTAGGTTGAAATGGTGAACAATTATTTTATTAAAATTCATTAAACCCCGTCCCTAAATCGTTTTCATTCCGTCTTTGTTATGGTAGTGATAACGTAATCGGATTTTCAAACGGGGTCTAGGTGTCGATTAAATATGTGACAAAGTTTCCTGATTGCAAAACGTCATTGTGCTGTCTCTGTATGTCATTGTGTCCGTTATGTGTGGCGAGGGAGCTTCGACAAAACACACTGTTTGCGCCAAATGCAAACAAAGATGTTTACTGGGTAAATCTCCGCCAGTGTAGCCAACAGACTTGGCGCTGCATATCCCAGCAGTAGTTTAACAGGAATTTGATCTCAAGTGGAACAGCACAAACACCAACAAAAATCACTGCGTCATCGTATGCCCCAGTTTACCCTCTACCTATACATAATCAGTGAAACACATGCGCGTTGCTGTGCTCATGAATATTAATTTAGGGAACAACCAATGGGATCCTCGCTTACAAACGAATTGGGATTGAAATTCGGTCAAATAAACAATAGCACGTGGCCTTGCTTTTGAAGGAGGAGAACGGGGATTACTGCACGTGAATGGAAGAGTCATCAGTTGGCAAAGTTCACTGTTTTTTCATAATTGTCTTTTGCACAGATACACCTAGAAGATAATTTGGAAAAGGGATTCACGTTTTTGCCTTACATAGCTCGCATGAAATATATTCATGAAATATGAATGTTGTTATAACGATTTCATTTGTACCTTACAGGTTGATAGCGAAGACAAATTGGCTTCTGTTGTCAAGTGTCGCCCAGGGCAGAAGATGAACGACAACGATGTTGCTGGTGGAAGGGTCACTTATAGCGACGCAGGTTGCGTCATCGTGGATTACCCGGAGGAAGACCTCAGTCCTGCAGAAGTGATGGTGACGACGTTCTGCAAGTCTGTGGCCGGGAAAGGGTATGGCCCGGCGTCCTTGGTGACAATACCCGCATGAACATGACTGACAGCAAATGGACAATCTGAGGTAACTAGTCCGACAGGGCATTTCCGAGTATGATGTGTTTTGTTTAATAGTATATGGATGGAGGGATATCTAAATTAAAAGAATTAAAATTAAAAAGACAAGTTGCAGACATAACACTTTATATATTTTAATCAATCAGGAAGGCTTTTATGCATGTTTGACGTTAATCGGTTTAGGCCAAATAATTTCAGCAAATCATATCTTCTGATTAATAGCTTTGGTTAAAAGTTGTTTGTTCTTAATGCCGCACTCCGCAACATTCAAACTATGTGACGGCAGTCTGTAAATAATAGAACCTCGACCGAACAATCCAGTGGTTGACATCATGAGCATCGATGTACATAATAGTGTTTTTAACAGTAATTAAAATAGTTTTGAACAGTGCTTTATGATATCCTTTTTCTTTTCAGGGAAAACCACATCCCGAAAATATCCTAAAAAAATGAAGAGCTCTTCATGCCGGTGAGACATCTTAGATAGCAGCTGCCGAGTTGGATCTAATGTCTCAAACCGTAGATGGGTTGAAGTCATCTTCATTGATACATAGCCATTGTCTCATCAACACAATTGGTCATGAAAACGCCATGATTCAGGACGAGAGACAGGATTGGTCACTGGTACCGGTTATCCTACATCATCAACAGATCGCGTGGGGTGTTGTTAAAAACGACTCCCATCACGTTGTCAACGAACAACGGAAACGAACCATGCGAATGAACTGTGAAAGAACATCGGAATTCGATTGGATATCACCTGAACAGTGTGTTTGAAACAACATTTCATGGCATTCATCTATGCAAAAAAACATAAAAGCAAAAATGTGTATATATAACATGTGACAAAGTGACGATATGTCGTCTGGGAAGAGACAAACATCGTAGTGCATCAACGCACAGGAACATGTGACATTATCTTAGGGTTACCTGCCCTTGAACCACACATCGACGAAGGAGGGGAGCTGTGAAAGAGCTCAGAGAAGCTCGACTCTGCCGATCAGCTAACGGCTAAACAAAGTAACGGGACTCTGTGTTAGCATTGTCCTGATACTTTACGCAATAGACAATTGTTTGTCAATTCATTTTAGACAAATTAGAATGTTATATTTTTTAGCTTGTTTCTTTGACATTTGTAAAAGTAATCAGTCTTCAATGTTACTGTTTTCATTTTGTATCAGGTTACTTATAATGTTTAGTTATTTTGTATAGAAATAAAAAAAATTAAAAGCAATTCATTTTGTTCTTGATGTTTCTTTTGCGAGTAAGTGAGTGAGTTAAATTTTACGCCGCTGTCAGCAATAGTCCATCGATATCACTGCCAATTAAGCTGCAAACATTGTACCCATATTGGGAATCGAACCTGGGTCTTCAGCGAGTCCAGTGAACGACTTGGCTACATGACCGCCACCTGTTGTGAGAGAGTGAGTGTGTTTTTTTTCTCTGCAGTCAGCAACATTGTGGCTTATGCTCGATGGCAAGGTTATGACAAGACAACACGTCAGCCAGGGTGATGACAATATACATTATGCTATACGTGTTATCATAACGTTTTGATAGTGATTCATTAACACATATAAACTATATAGTAGAAAATGCACAAAGGGGATTTCTTATGATTATGGAAATTGTTTTGTCGGCTATGTCGTATACATTTTCATTCCAAATACTAGTAACGTATCCTGCATGTATTAAATACGTCCACACATGACCACGACATTACCATGCACCGATATTGCACAGCGAATCGATAAAGCCATAGGAGAACTTGCCTTATGATTATGGGCCGCTATGAAGGTTATCCATCACATGCAACACCGACAGACCGCAGAGAAATGGTCGATTACAAATCCAAGTAAATGAACCCTGTCTGGTTCTACTTGACATACATAGAGCGTGGTCCTGGTATATGTAGGTGTCAAAGTCACCTTATATGTCACTGAACTAATAATTCGGCCGTGGGTAGTTGCAACTGTATGATATGAACACCCAGTTCGCAGCTATAATTTTTCCTATAGTAACCAGCCATGAAGATTACACCTCTTGTGATTGTGCAGTTCGTGGGAGATAGTCGTATTATTTCGTTTGTTTTCGTGTTAATTACAACCTATTAATTTCGAGAACCTCATATTGTCGGAGACGACGACTGGATGGAATTTCCTTTTGACGGAAAGTGCAACTCACGTATTTATTTCATAATTTTGTTATATAAGTCCGACCTTGTCTGCTTTAATTGCGTCTCAAAGCAAGTCTTCTTCTGCTTAATTGAGAACAGATCTTGTACACAGAAACCTCGTTAATCCGGACATATAATATGATCTATGTATTACATTAGAACCTCGTTAATTCGGATATTTGGATGTCAACAATACATTACGCGTTTTTCTTATCTGACATTGTTCGAGGGAACATTCCTCAAACTCTCAAATAAATGTTTTCAGGTGAACATCGTAACCTCGTTTGTTATATCAATGTTCGGAAACCTTGCGGACTTCAGTTTCTGAATGATATAAAATAATGATGGGTATTGCGTGCATATCTATAGTTATCACCCATAACTGACTTATTAAAGGAAATATCATCAATTGCATCACAGTGCTTTGTTGACCAATGTGACGTCATCGGTTTGCATGACGTCACAATCAAATGACATCACTAATATCTCTGCCACTGAAGCTGTAGCTGTACTGTTCACTCTCAAGACAATGGTTATTACCGTTTACAAAAGAAAATGTTGGAAGGGTGATTTAGGATGATAAATAGAGAATCTCACCAGAGTGTCTTTTGATATCAAATATATCAACACGAATTGATAAAAGTGGGAAAACTCCGAGGCTTGCCGATGATTGTTTCCACTATTATCAACGAGTGTAGATATAGCTTGATCTCACCCAAGCGATATCTCCTGTTGGGGCCAGTTTTGGGTGAAAAATAGAATCTCAGTCTCGTGTCGCCTAAGCTCAAATTTATCAAGACACGTTGATAGAAGTCAAAATATCATCGGCAAGCCTCGAATATTTGTAACTCGTTTTGATATATTTCATGAGGTAGGTTCTCGATGTAAGCTGTAAATTATATCGGGCACAATTTAAGTTTATTTGTTTTCATTGGATATCATCAGATATATTGTTTATAAATCAAACCAAATACAAGTAGTAGCAATCGTGACAAAGAACCAAAAATACTACTTTGAGCAAAACAGGTCATGAATTTGGCAGCCTTAATAGGCAAAGAAGCCTCGCATGTATACAATACCATTTCGGGTAGTATCATAACACTGATATAAGTCAACCCGATTATCACGTACCCGTATATGTAATGTCCCTACACCAAGAGTATAATCACTCCTCCCATATAAGGAAACGCATATACCACCATACATGGGCGTAGTTGCCAGGCAAGTGACCCTACAATGATTAGAGTTACCTCCCTTCCTCTTCGTTTGTGTCACGTTGATGTTTCTGCACGTGCTGAACATCGTGATGGCCTTGTGAGGTCTTTACGTTATATAAGCGTTATATGCATTGCATCTAATAGGAAGGGTGAAATATAAGTTATAACAATGCATTTTCGAATGTTTTCTTGCATTATTTTAAGAATGCAGATGGTAATTAACACGCATTAGAATTTAGGTCAAATATTATAGATTTCGTGTGTTCAGTGGACCGTGCATAACGGATTGTTTGTACTTGAGTGCACACAATCAAACGTATATAACACAAAGATCAAATCTATTTCACACGTTACCTTATTACTTTTATCTACATTTTATAATGATTTGAGGCTGCTACTTTGAAGTCCTGTTCGTTTTCATAATATACTAACTTCGAAATCAATATTGTTGGTACTTATGAAAATACTTTATGACAATTACGATGTCAAAGATCAGATAATATCATATTCATAAAAATAATTAAATAACATTAATAGTTATCATTATGATCATCAATTATAATACTATTAGTACCAGTAGCACTGGTGATAATGTATAACTTATTGGTACTATAAGTAGCAAATGCTGTTGATTATCTCACATTTGCAAAACTTTCAAGAACATTGTGACTACATGGCTTTCTGTTTGTGTTGGAAGTTTTGCGAAACTTCCATCAGAAAAAATACCATCCTTGTTGTCATGATTTTCGTTGTTGTTCTGATGGTCTTTGTACTAACTTCAATTTCACAGAAATATCCTTGACATATATGTAGCCGTCTAGGGTAATGCAGTTTTGGTCCAAACGGTAATTCCATAAAGGGCTTATGTAGTTACGGCTGTTTAGGGAAAGTGCAAACTCGTGAACACTCGACCACGTACCGGAGATAGTACATGCGTAGCAACGCGGACACATTTCCTTTTACGGCATTTGACTCATGGAGATAATATAAGTACATTTAACTACGGTGAGTGAGTGACTTTCGTTTAACGCTTCAGTGAACAGTATTTCAGTTTATACCCTACCTAATTTGTATTATCAAATGTCGTCCATTATTTCAAGACCATCCCCAAATATGTGTATGTTTTATTACCCTCCCCAAGAGACTGTCATATATTTTGACCCTGCCCTGAATCTCTCTGACACCTCACCTCCCTAAAAGAATGGAATAAATGACCGGTCTCTAAGGCGGTTGGCCACCCATGTCCGACATGTCCCAGTAACTGAGGCGGAACCAAACAAACCAGTGATTGATAGTATGAGCAATTGGGGGTGGGGTGGGGATGGGGATGGGGATGGCGGGGAGAGGTTGTGTGTGTGTGTGTGTGTGTGTGTGGGGGGGGGGGGGGGGGGGGGGGGGGGGGGGGGGTAAAGTAACAATGACATAATAGTAATGAAAATAGTTGCATTATCGTAGGCAGCAGAAGTGATTATAATGCTATATAACAGTATAATATATAGAGAGAATCTCGCCCAAGTGTCTTTTGATATCAGTTATATCAACAGGAGTTGATAAAAGTGGAAAAATGTCGAGGCTTGCCGAGGATTTTTGCCACTTTTATCAACGAGTGTTGATATATTTGATATCAAAAGACACGAGGGTGAAATTTTATTTATCAACCAACATCATTCTTTCAACTTTTTCAATTTGAAGACAGTAATTAGCAGTGTCAGTGTAAAAAGTACTGCAAACAGCTTCAGTAGCAGAGCCATTAGTGATGTCATTTGATTGTGACGTCATGGTAACCAGTGACGTCACAATGGTCTGCAAAGCATTGTGATGTAATTTCATTGCACCGATATCTACAGTGTTGATATCGCTTGATCTCATCCAAGCGATATCTCCCGTGGGAGCCAGTTTTGGATGATAAATGCCGTTAATTATACCCATCCTGTTCTGTATCTTGCCGAACCATGAAGATCCGGGGTAGAATAGATCTCCAGCAACCCATGTTTGTCGTAAGATGCGACCAACGGGATCGGGTGGTCAGGATCACTGACCTGGTTGATGTTTGTCATGGTATCCAAACTGCATGGATCGATGCTTATGATGTCAATCACTGCATTGTCTGGTTCAGACTCGATTATATACAGACCGCCGTCACATAGCAGGAATCTTGCTAAGAGTGGCGTTAAACAACAATCAAACTAACAAACAAACTGTATTTTGACGCCTCTTTACAACGCGATTCGTTGTACCGAAAGTTACAAATTCTGACCTGTTAGGGACCTTATATCGTTCACCTCATTACTTTGCTTCGTGGAATATTAATCGGAACACTGGATCACAGTATATGTACACCGACCTGTCCACGTGCCACGCATCCACTGAGAATGTACATTACACTACGACAATCGTGGCCAGAACACATTTCCAACGAAACTTTTCGCCCATGGTTTCAGTCTAGGGCTGAAAATAGCTCCTCGTGGTGCTCATTATAACTCGCACGATGGCAGTCTGCGTAAGGCGAGCTATTTTCAGAGCTAACGGGATATATATAGACACGGCACTGACCGCCGCTGCAAACGTCTATGACAGAAGAATCTGAGGCTTGAGGCGTTGGTACCGTAAGTTCTCATCAAGTCTCTCAGCCCCCGTGTACAGTTAGTACGCTCGGCAGATACCGTGTGCGTAGGATTTAATTTGGGAACAAACAAGTTGACAAGAAACAAGAAATATACCATGTGTTTATGATCAATTATATTGATATTTACAAAAACGAAAGTCGCTGTCATTTGACATTTCGAAGAAAAGAAGACATATGCACAATGGTTAAACAATTAGCCAGCTGATTTTAAAGGT